ATTTATATAAATCTTAATTTATTAATTTAAATTCTTAAATTTTCAATTTATAATATTTATAATATTTTATTTTCTAAATAAAGATAATAATCACCCTTATTTTCTTAATCTAATTATATTATTCCGTTTATATTCGAATTTTTTTTTTTATTCTATAATTTACTATTATAATTGGTTAATTGGTTATTTTTAATAATTTAATATTATTATTATATGAAATGTATTTTTCTTAATAATTTTTATTTATTTTGCATATATTAATTCTTTATTTTATAAACAAGAATTTAGAAGTATTAATTTCAATTTTTATCTCGTATAATTATTATTTTTCTTTATTAATTTTTAATTAAATACATATTTCTTTCTTTTTGATTTTTTTCTTTTTCTATTATTTCGTTTTCATTATTATCATTCAGTTTAATTAATTTTATTAAAGCTCTAATTCTTTCTTAGAAGGATGACATTACATATACATATTATTTGCGTTTGTTTATTGAGTATTAATTGTTTATTCTCATTTCTTTGCTTTAATTTAATATTCGAGTTAGCAAGGTATATTCCTTTCTAATTAATCTAATTATATTTTATTTACTCATTAAATTAATTAGCTTATTTTATTTGTTTATATATCAATATCATATTCTTTTTAAATAAAATAATTTTTTATTTAATTTTTTTGTGAATTTAACTTTATCTTTTTATTTATTCATTCCTTTCTTTTTAATTACTTCATTTATATTTGAATTTTTAGATAAATTTATATTCTTAAAAATACCAAACTTTAAAATTTATTTTTTCAAATTTTTTAATTTTATATATTTTTTTTATTTTTATTTTTATTTTATTTAGATTTTTAATAATTATTACTTATAAAAAATTGCCCGATCTTGATTAATTTAGAATTTCATATTTATTTTTTTATATATATATGTGTATTTTTATATAAAAATAAATAAAATAAAAATAATATGTTATTTTAAACAATATGTGAATTTTATTCATATTTAAAATTAATTAAAAAAAAAATATTTAAATAACGAAGCATTATTATATTTTAAAAATGTCAAATTAAGAAATTATTTAAAACTTTAAATCAATTAATAAAAATGATAATTTTAGAAGATTTAGTATAGACAGAAATATAAATATATTATCATAAAACAATAACAGTAAAGAAAAAATAGGTAATATTTTTTTTTATATTGTACAAAATAAATTAATTTTAATTTACACAAAAAAAAAAAAAAGAAATGTAATTTAACAAAAAAAATAGATCAATAATAAATAGAAAAAGATTTATATATAAATAAATTAATATAGAGTTATTCAAATTAAAGTAGTTAAAATAAAATATATAAAGAATATTTACTTTCAAAAGAAAAATTAAGTACATTGAGAAATGTAAGTAGTCCTATATATTAAAATTAATAATTAAAATCTTTAAATAATATCGATTTAAAAATGAAAAAAATCGAATCTTTAAATTACGTTCCTTAACATAATAATATGAGTATAGAAAATAAATATGAATATAGTTTATAAATGTAAGAGAATAATTAAGAAAACTTGAACTTACTTTAAAGTAATAAAAAAGAAATAATAAATAATGTAATCTCAGACTAAAACTAAAGTCATAAATAAATAAATATGTATTAATATGTATTTAATTAAAATGAAAAACCAAATCTTAAAGCAAGTTTATAATTATAAAGGTGCAAAAGTTTAGCTTTTTAAGAAAATAATTGTTTAAATAGTAAAAAATATTATAAATAATTATAATTTTATGTATTTTGTAAAAGAATAAATCACAGATATATAAGCATTAAAAAATATTGAATAAATATGGAAAATTTAAAATTATAAATCATTTGTTAATAATTTTAAAGTAATATTTTTTTTTATTATTATTATTATATAAAAATATATTAGTGTAAATAAAAAATTTAATAGAAATATGAAAATATAGAATTAATAAATGAAAGTGATTAATTAATTGTATATTCGGAATAATTATGTGAATAAACATTTTTTAAGTCTTTAATTTTAATGCATTTTGTTGATTTATTAATAGAAGAACAAGTAGATATATACAGTTTATCTCTTATAGATATATATAAGCAAATAAACCAAAAAACAATTTAATTTAAAAGTGTAGCATTAAAAAAAATGAATATAAATCAGATTTTAGAATGTATAAATAAACATATCCTTGAATTAATTTAGGCTAAACATTAATTAAGTAAAGAATTATTAATATAATTGTTTTTGAAGAAATTTTAGGAAGATGAATTTTTATAAGAAGGGCTTATTTAGACCATGAAATAAATTATTATTTAAAATGCTAATTAGTAATTATTTTAAAAAGAAATTATTTAGTTTTAAAATTAATTTGATATTTAGTTGGAATTAATGCCTTTAGTTTCTAATGCTTTAAACAAAGTAGTTGAAATTCATTATTTGTTTGAAAATAAAATAGAAATTTAAACTTTTAATAATGTTAAATTTTAATATAATAATAAAAGCAAAATAAGGATGATTTATTATTATAATTAATACTAAAGAAAATACTATTATTTACCGCTTTTGAGTAAATAATAGGCTATAATTTATTAACTAGAAAATAAAGAAAAAAATAATAATTATATATTTTAAAATAAAATATTAAAATAAAATATATAAAATATGATGAATTTCTGGATAAGTAATAATGAAGCTTATTAATAAATAGAATAATAATAATTTAAATAAATCTAATAATAGAAATAAAATTTTATTTAATAATAATAAACATAGTAATAAAAATAATAAAAATAATAATAATAATAATAATAATAATAGTAATAATAATAGTAATAATAGTAATAATAATAATAATAATAATTGTAAATAAAATAATAATAAATAAAATAATAATAATTGTAAATAAAGCAATGTAGTTAAATTTAGGATATAAGTAGTAAATTATCATAAAGAAAATTTTCTTTAGATTAAAATAAAAATTAATAAAAATTTTGTTATTCTTATAAAATAAATAAGTAAGCTTTAAACTAATACTCAGTTTTTTATTTAAATTCTTTATAAAATTAAATAAATTATACTGGAAATTTAAGATAATATTATGTTACTAAAAAAATTTGAACTATTTAAAAATTATAATATTTTTTTTTAATTTAATTTTTTATTTTTAAATTTATATTAATAAATATTTATATTTATTGTTAAAATGATTTATATATTTTAAATTCTTTCTGTTAATATTTTTTATTAGAACCATTTTTATTACATATAAAATATATAATATTTATTATATATTTTGTTATATGTTAAATATTATAAATATAATCTTAATTTAAATTATAAAATAAAACTCATTTTTTTTTTGTTATTATTATAATATTATTTTAATTGCTAATGTATTAGACTAACATTTGTAAAATATATCTTTTAAAATATTGATAATAACAACATAGTAAAAAAATTAAATATGATTTAATAAAAAAAAAAAAATTAAAATAATTAAATTATCCATTAAATGTATAACAAAAAAACAATAAGAAAAAAAAACATATTAAAAAAAATGATTAATGTAAAAAATATTTGAAAATAATATATAATAAAAATATATAATGTTTTTTTTATAAAATTAAAAAATTTGTAAATAAAGATATATATATGTTTTTTTAAATATATAAATATATATAAAAATATATAAAATATATATATATTTCTTATTTTTATATATATATTTATTTATATATATAAATATATAAATATCTTAATTTTTTTTTTTTATATTTTTTTTTATATTCATTAAAAAATTATAATACATCATTATTATATAAATATTTTTAATTATTTGATAATCACATTAATTTATAAAAAATTATTATAGAAAATTTTAAAATTATTAAAAAAAATTATTGTAATAATTTTTACTTTTTATATCTGTTTTTATATTTTTTTTAAATAGAGATTATTATTATGAAAATATCTAGACTTTTTTTTTTTTATATCATTTTTGTTATTGAATAATTTAAATTATTACTATTTTATATTAAATTTTTATTACATAAAGTAACTAAAAAATATAAATTTTATAAATTTTGATACTTATAAAATTCTAAATTCTTGAATATCTATTTATGTAATAAATATTATTTTAATATTTTTTTAAACACTTATTTTTATTTTACATTTTAATTTACATATTTATTTTAAGGTAACTATTTATTTTAACTATTCTATCTTTTATCTTATTTAAATATTTATTTTTTTCCATTATAATGTATTTTTTAAAATTTTTTAAAGATCTTTTACTTAATATCTCTAATAAATATAATTACAATCTACCTACTTTTAACTTTTATATTTATATTTAACTTATGAATTTTTTTTTTTAGATTTCTTTTTTATTTTTTGGATTTTTATATATTTTATCTATATTTACAATTAATATTATATTAAATTTATTATATTGACATTATTTTTTTTATGGAAATATATTTTATTATTATAAAAATAGAAAGAAATAAGAGTTTATAAAAATCGAATACTTAAGCTTTTGTAATATAAATAATTTATGTTTTGAAAATCATTTTGTTTTACTTCTTAAAATAATTGTAAATAAATTAAACTATATCATATATATATATATAATTTAATATAGAATATTAATTAATATAATTATTAAAAATAATAATTTAATTATAAAAAAATAAGTGTAATTTTAATTAGTTTTTTATAAACTTTTATTTTGGTGTTTTTATATTTATTATTTTACGTTTATAAAAGTTTATTTTTGAAAAATAAATTTAAACTTTTTATATATAATAAAAACTAAAAACATAAATATATAAATAGTATAAATATAAAAAAAAAAAAAATTCAATTAAAAAAATAAATATTCAATATACATGTATATTATTATTTTGACCATAAAAAAAAAAAACATAATTTTATATAAAAAACAAAAACAAAAAAGCTAAAATAATAAAAAAAAGATGAGAAAAAAAGTAGACGGTAGAATATAAACATTAATCGAAAATTGCATAAAATTACGCCAAAGAGGATTTTTCATTATAGTAGGTGACAAAGGAAGAGAGCAAGTAAAAATAACTTAAATAAAATAATAAAAAATATAAAAAAAAGGCAGTAAATATTCATTATTTATTAAATAAAATGAACTTCAAAAACAAGCCTCAAGTATTGTGGTGTTATAAAAAAGAACTCGGTTTTTCGACTCACAGATAAAAGCGTGCCAAAGAAATAAAAAAATTACAAAAAAAGGGTTTATATGATCCTAATGTAGATGATCCATTTTAATTATTTATAACTTCAAATAAAATAAGATATTGTTATTATAAAGAGACACATAAAGTACTCGGATAGACTTTTTAATTATTAGTTTTATAAGATTTCGAGGCTATAACCCCTAATATGCTTTGTAGAACAATCGAAACAGTTGAAGGAGGTGGTTTCGTGATTCTTTTATTAAAAACAATGTCTTCTTTAAGGTAACTATATACTCTTAGTATGGATGTACATTAGAGATTTAGATCAGATTAATTTTAGAATATATAGCCTAGATTTAATGAAAGATTTATTTTGAGTCTTTCTTAATGCGAAAATACTATTATAATGGATGATGAGTTAAACATTTTACCAATATCTAAATCTATAAATAATATTGTAAGTATAAGCAATGACTGTTTAGATCTAAAAATGGTAGAAGAATTATAAAAATTAAAAGATTCTTTGAAAGATACATGTCCTATAGTTGGAGCTTTAATTTAAATTGCAAAAACATTAGATTAAGCAAAATGTATACTTAGTTTTATTAATGCTATTAGTGAAAATAAATAATAAAAATAAACAATTTCATTAACTGCTGGAAGAGGAAGGGTAATATATTTAAATATATATATATATATATATATATATATTATATATATATATATATATATATATATTATTTTTATATATTTATATTTATCTTTTTTATATTATCAGGGAAAATCAGCTGCTATAGGTATTTCAATAGCTTCTGGAATTGCTTAGGGTCTTTCAAATATTTTTGTTTGTGCACCTTCTCCAGAAAATCTAAAAACTCTTTTTGAATTTATTGTATTAGGATTAGAGTAGATTGGATTTAAAGAAAATATGCATTATGATATTATTTCATCAACTAATCAAGAGTATAATAATGCTGTAATACGTATTAACGTTTTTAAAACACATAAATAGGTTATTTAATATGTTAAACCTATTGATGGCTTATCGGTTGGGACTGTAAAAATATTATATATATGTATATATAACTTATTTTATATTTAAGGCTGATTTAGTTATAATCGATGAAGCAGCGGCTATTCCTTTATTTTACTTAAATTAATTTTTAAATAATCCGTTAGTTTTTTTAAGTTCTACTATTAACGGATATGAAGGAACTGGTCGTTCATTATCTTAAGAATTAATAAAAAAATTAAAAACATAAACTATAACGAATTCTAAAAATTAAAGAATACTAAAATAAATTACACTTTAGGATCCTATTAGATATTCGCCTAATGATCCAATAGAAAAATGGTTAAATGGATTGTTATGTTTAGAGGTTAAAATAAATATATATATATATATATATATATATATATATATATATATATATTTATATATATATATATATTTATATTTATATTTATATAATTTTAGGCTACTGATGCTGTTAGTTTAAAAGAAAAACTTCCTCCTTCAGAAGATTGTGAGTTATTTTTGGTAAATAGAGATACTTTATTTAGTTATAAATAATCGACTGAAACATATTTATTTAATTTGATGAGTTTGTTTATTTCTTCTTATTATAAAAATTCTCCAAATGATTTACAAGAAATCAGTGATTCTCCATCTAATTCAGTTTTCGTTTTGATGTAGAAAATAGATGATAAAAATCCTAAAAAAGGTCTTCCGGATATTCTTTGTGCTATTTAAGTTTGTATAGAAGGTAAAATTTCCAAAGAAGCTGTCTAAATTAGTTAATAATAGTCTGAAAATTCAGAATTTAAAACTTATACTGACATAATTCCATATACAATAACAGAAGAATACCAAGATAACGATTTCGGAAAACTTTCTGGAATTCGAATTATTAAAATTGCTACACATCCAGATGCATAAAGAAAGGGATATGGGTCTAAAGCACTGTCTTTATTATAAAGTTTTTTATAAGGACAACTTTTGACTAAAAAAGACGACTTGAAAAGTTATTTTGATAATTATGATAATGAATAAAATTATAGTAAAAAACCTTTACTAAGAAAATTAAATAATATAGAACCACCTAATGTACATTATTTAGGTCTTTAATTTGGATTGAATTAAAATTTATTTAAATTTTGGCAAAAAAATAAATTTGTTAGTCTTTATTTAAGGTAAAAAAATAATATAAAATATAATTATTAATATTTTTTTTAATAAAAATCTTAATTGATAAAAAAATGAAATATAAAGAAATATTTTTTTTAAAAAAATTTATATATATATATATATATATATTTATTTATTTAATTTTTTTTCTTTTTATAAAAATAGATAAAAAAAAAATGAATTAAATTTAGAACATAGTTGTATTATGATTAAAAATTTAGATTGTATTTATTAAAATAATGAAGAGTAATTTAACAATAATTGGCTTAAATTTTTTAAAGATGATTTTAATAAAAGGTTAGTTTAGTTACTTTCTTATGAATTTAAAGAATTGAATGTATAATTGTGTATAGGAATTATTGATCCTATAAAGGAAAACTAATAAATTTAAAAATATGATTTAAAAGTAATAAACATAAAAAATATATATATTATTTATAAATAAAAAAGAATTATTTAAACTTTTTCATTAATCAATATGATTTAAAAAGACTTGATTATTATTGCAAAAACTAACTTTAATTTATCCAAATACAAGAGTTATTACCTGAAATAAGCAAATTAATATTTACTAATAAACTTGGAAATATTAAACTTAGTGTTTTATTTTATACTGTTCTTTTAGGTCTGGGACTTTAGCTTAAATAGCCTTAATAAGTAGCAGAAGAATTAGATATTAGTACTTAATAAGTTTTAGATGTTTTTTATAAAGGGATTTAGTAAGTTTTTATTGTTTTGAAAGAGGCTTTTTAATACGAATCATTAAATAATAAAAAAAAAATTAAGAAATAATTTAAAATTAAAAATATAAAAAAATTAAATATAATTGATAATATATTTTATTGTATTTTTATTTTTATTTAATTAAATTTATTTATTAATTTATTTGTCATTATTATTTTTAAATGGAATATTCGGAAGAAATATATTCACAAATTTATTTTTGGTTAAAAAGTATTCAGTAATTAAGAAATATAGATAATATAATTATAGACATAAGCAATGGATATTTAGTAGCTGAAATTATTAATAATTAACATCCAAATATAATAAATATGGAGGATTATAAAAATAGTGAATAAAAAAATGATAAAATATTTAATTGGTAAAATTTAAAATGTAAAAAAATTTAGATAATAATATTAAAAAAAATTAAATATAAAAATAAAAAAGTTTTAGTTTTTAAAAAAATTGGGTTATAAATTTTATAAAATGATATTGAAAATATTATTAATTCAAATCCAGAAACAATAATAAAATTTTTAGTTTAATTAAAAATTAAATTATAATAGTATAATTAATTAATGAATATTGAATAAAAAGATATAACTTAAAAATCTAAATAATAAGAAATATTTTAAACATAGTATTAATAAACATAAGAATAATACATAGAGTTGAAATTAAATCAAAAATATAAATATAGAATAAAAGATATAAATAAATAAAAAAAAAATATATATATATATATTATATATATATATATATATATATATATATTTAATCTTTTTTTTTCTTAACATAGAAATATATATTAACCAAACGATTTATCTATATAAAATTAAGATGAAAAAATTTTATATTTTAAGAATTAATTAAATGTTTAAATTAATATTTTTTTTTGTTTTTTATTTTTTTTTTAATTTAGGAATTAGATTAAAAAATAAATAATTTGAAATAAATAAATTAATAAAAAGCAAAATACATAAGAGAAAGGTTAAATGAAAGAAAATAATAATTATTAAACTGAATACAATTTTTACGAAGAATATTTTAAATAATATTATTATTTAATATATTTCTGTAATAATTTTTTTTACTTTATTTTATATAAATTTGAATATTTATTTCAATTATTATTATTTTATATATTTTTAACTAATTAATATAAATAAAAATCTTATTATTTTTTATAAAAAAAATATGAATACAAATTAACAAGAAGCTGAAAATTAAATATATATATTAAATAAAATTGTTAATAAATGTTTTTAAAAATGTATAATTAACTTTTTTAATGAGAATTTATTAAACGGAGAAGATAAATGTATTAAAAATTGTTCGAAAAACTATTATAATTATCTATATACTTTTTATAATTAAGTTGAAAAGAAATGAAATAAAAAATAATAATAATAATAAATACACGAACATAAATAAAGTAAATAAAAATTTATATTTTGTACAATTGTAAATCTATTATTTTCAAAATTAATATTTTTTAAAAAAAAACTAATTTAAATTTGAAAATATAAATAAATTTAAAATGCATTTATTCAGATAATCTAATTATAATAAAAGCTCTTTATTTATTTATTTTAAATAAAAAATAAATAGTTTAAAATATAAGTTTATTTTAAATAATAAATAAAAATATAGGTAATTTTAATATTATATAAAAATAAATAAAAATATTATTATTAATTTATTTTTCATTTATCTTTAATATATTTTAATTTTCCAAATATAATTTCTTTTTATACTTAATTAACACATCCAATAATAATATTTTTTTTCTAATATTATTAAAATAAAAAAAATAATAATAAAAATTCTTTTTTTGTTACCTTTAAATACTTATTTTCTTTAAAAGCCTAAATTTAAATCCCTTAACTTAAAATTTCTAAAAACTGGATATTTGTTGCTTCAATTTCTAAAACAAACTTATATTTTATATTTTTCATTAAAATGGCAAAATCATTTACAATAACTAATAAAAATTCTTCGTTAAAATCTTCAAAATATACTTAATAACTACCCATATACATTTAATTTTTATATTTCCCATTCATATAATCTCCTAAAACTAAACTCATTTTAGCATCCTATTCATTATATTCTTTAAAATATTAATTTTTTGAGTAAAAAGACCTAATCATTCTAATTCTTTTATTCGAAGGTTTATCATCGAAAACCGTAATAGTATTAACAATTCCTTCCGCCGTTTTTTACACGAAATCAATTCCTCCACAAAAAGGCTTAAAAATTAATCCACTAAATCCTTTAATACTCCCAATTAAAAAACCTAAAGATCCCTTCTTTTTAGCCTCATAGTAAGGAAGGTCAAAAAACCCTTAAACTCCTCTCTATATGCCCAATATAAAGGCCAAAAAGCCTATAAAAATGCCTGCAAAAGCATGGCTTGGATGCAATGATTTTATGTATTCACGTTTTTGCATAAAAGTATCATCTAAAGAAAGATAAGCCAATACAGTACATAAAGGTTCGGTTAGAGATTACATTGAATTAAGTGAACCTGAAATTGTGTTTTTAAGTAAACTAAAGGCTCCTTTTGTTAAGCCTATTGTGCCTTCTATAGGACCTTTTACAAATCCTTCTAATGGATAGTTTAGTAAATCAGAAAAACCTATGTATAGGCTTTTGGCAAGACCTAAGGGATTAGCAAAAGGTTTAAAGAACCTATAACATTAAAAAGTATAGAAATTAATGTTAAGTAATAGTTCCTGAATATTAATTTTATAGTATTTGAGGTGGTATCAAATAATTTATTTAGTTTAGTTCTTTTAATATTAACCTTTATTTTTATTTGTTAATATATATAAATATAAATATATAAAAATATATATATATATATATGTCAATATAAATTTATATATATATATATATATATATATATATATAATTAGATACATATATGTATATTTATTTATTAAATATTTTTATATATATTTATATTTTATTTTATTACTGATGCATTGTCAATATTTTTAAAAGCTAATCCAATTGCATTAAATACATTTAATAGGAAAAAAAAATCATTATGTTTGCCTTCCTTAGTATTTGCTTTAAAAGAAACATTTAAATCGATTGGATATATTTCAATTTCGTTTATATAAGTTATTGAATTTTATGTAGGTAATTTCTAATGCTTCCATTCAAATTATAGTTATTGACTATTTTCTTCATCAAAGTCATTATTAAAGTTTGCAAATATATTATCATAAGGAGTAATTAGTGTATTATCTCCAAAAAGTGCTTATTATTAGCTTATTCTGAAATTTTACTGGTTATTATTTTAAATACTATTAATAGTATTAATAGAACTATTTGTGATTATTTTATTGTTTCTATGTCTTTTTTTACTTTATTAACTTTAATTCTTTATAAATTTTTATGTTTATATAGGTTAGGTTTTTATACAACTCTGAATAAAACTTAAAAATTACTGTAAAAAACTATCCGTTAATTTAATTGTGGAAGGCATTAATCTACATCTAATGCATTTTATTATTTACATCTTTTTTACCATTATATTTTATACTAATATAAGACTAAAATGAGGTATATTTAGTTTTAAAATCTTTCTTTATATTATATATGAATATAATTATATATAATTAAAAAAAAAATACGCATAAGCAGAAGGAGTAAAAATAACAGGAAATAAAGCTTAATTTGATATATTATTATCTATTTATATAAATCCTATTTTAACTTAACATGCTCTTAAAGCATATGTTTATAAAATAACAACTTCAGTATTTTTTAAAGTTATTAAGGCTAATTCTTATCTTTTATTTTTATTCCAATTTAATATTGAAAACTTTATATTGCTAATGTTAATACCAAACTATATTTATTTATAGAAAAAAAATAGATATAAAAAAAAGATATATAAAAATATATAATATATAATATATATATATATATATATATATATATATATATATATTTATATATATAAATATTATTAATATACTTATATATCTAAATCTTCTTCTAATTTGTTTCTTTATTTTATTTCTTCTTCACAATAGAATTTAATTTTTTTTGTTGAACCTTCAAAACATATCATTATATAAAATCTATAAAAACATTCTTCATTTTATATCGATTTAACTTGATATTCTCTTTCTACATCATTTTCATCTAAATTAATATAAATTGTATTAATTGCATACTAATTTTATAATTAATTTAAAAAAATTAAATCAACTACAATATCTTTTTCCTTTACAGGAACTTCCCAAGCGAATTGTTATTCACTTTTTTCATTTATAATAAGCTTCTAATTATTAAAATTTTTCTAATAAACTTCTATGCATACATTTTGTAATTTATTATCGATTAAATAAACTGCTTCTTCATTATTTTAGCATTCACTAATAACTAAATATATTAAATGTCCATCTTCTCGTATTTCTAATTTCATATATTTTAATTAGTTAGGTGTTATTTAATTTCTAAGAGAAAAAGAAATTATATCTATATCATTTATACTTATACCACCACTCCATCCCCATATTTGATTATCTTTATCAGTACATTTTATAATTATTTTTCTTTCTTTTTAACCATCAGTCCAATAAAAAGGAACTCTAGAGTTTTATACGATATATATTTAGGTTTATTTTTAGCATGTACTTTAACAAACACTAAGTTCATTTAATGTCTTTTTATTTATATAATTATTTATATTTTATATTTTTACATTATTGACTAATATATAGCGTGGACTAATTAAAACAACTTTTGTATAAATTTATCTAATAAAATCAACACATATTAATGATGTATTTATTCCGAATTCATAAATTTGTGTAGAATTATTAAACTTTTAATTAAAAAAAATTATATATATATATATATATAAATATATATAAATATATATAAATATATTTATATTTATATTTATATTTATATTTATATACATATTTATATATTTTATTTTTATTTATATATATAAAATATATATATAAATATATATACTTTTTTATATTATTACTTTTAACTCCATTTTATAATTTCCTATGCCTTGTAGGTCTATTTATTTTGAAAGATTTTTTCCATTTTTATTTAATGATATTAAAAGATTCTATTAATTTGATAAAAGACATATTTTTTAATTTTTTTTTAAACTTTAAAGATTATCTTAATTATTTTATATTTAACCAGAAGTTTGTATTATCTTTTGATAAAAATGTGATTAAATATATAAATAATAATTTAACATTTTTCTTTTATTTATAAAAATAATATATAGAATAAGGTGTATCATTTATAGCAAATTAAGAAGTGTAAATGAAATATTTTCTAATTGCAAAAGATTCCTCTTATATTTATATTTCGAGGAATTGTATTCGATTTTCATAATCTTCTATTTGTATTTTCTAAAGCCAATTTTATTAATAAATTCCGAAATTTTATAAAATTTATTTTTAGCTTAATTTAAATCCTTATATTTAAACTATATTATTTTTAATGTTAAAATAAGTATATTTTAATTTATAAAATTATAAACCTTAAATATAAACAAGGTTTTTTGAATTTATATTATGTAATTGTATTTCCTATTAGTTGTTTAATGTGCCTTCAACTTAATTTTAACAATTATTATTTCCAATTTATTCAATAAAAATTTTATAATCAAATTTAAAAGGCAAACGATTTTTTATAATAACAGTTGGTTCTAAAGAAATAGTAAATAAATCAATACCCTATAATTTCAATTCTTTTTCGATTTTAATAATAGTAATTTTATCAAAACTATGATTTATTTCCTAGTATTCAATTTAATTAATATTGTTTTATAAATCTTTCAAAAAAATATATTACGACCAACTAAATATATATATATAAATATATATATATATATATATATATATATATATATATATATATATATATATGTTATTTTTTTATACCTTTTATTATATTATAATGTTTAATTATTATTTTCTACTTTTTCATCCTTTTAAATGCTTGTATTATTAGCAAATTTAAATTATAGGCAAAATTAAATTTTATCAAAAGGTATATAATATTTTTAACTAGGCTATAATAATTTTAATTCTTATTTTAATATTTATTTTTATTTATATTAAAAAACACTTTTTTCTTATTCTTATTAAAGTTTTATATATAATGATGTATCTAATTTATTAACTAAAAATATTGAAGATCTTAAAATTATTATTTTTCTTGCTTCTTAAGGCATAACTTCGACTACTATTTACAATTATTAATCATATTTATATAAAGAATTATTATTATTTTAAGAATCACTATAATTTATATAATACTAAATTTTTAAATAATTAAATAATTATAATAATTATTATATAACTAAATAATTACAATTTTTTTATCAATCGCATCTAAATCTATTCCTTTTAAACTTTGAAATTTACATTAAGGGTGTAAAATGAAAACAGAAAACGTTTTTTTATCATAATGGCTTGTATTTCTTATAAAAAACATACTTTCGTACTCGTTTTCTACTTAAAAATTGACTTCTTCTTCATTAGGAACATTATATTTTCTCAAAAAACCTCTAAAATCAGGAAAATCAGACTCTATTTCTATCATATAGCCTAACTCGTTTCTTATAGTATAGGGAGATACATATTCTAGGTAGTCTTCTTATTGATTTTCTTGTGAATCTTTGATATTAAATATTCTAGTTGATACTCTTCCTTTATTTTTTTTTTAATTAAATTGATTTTATTCGTTTTAATTTTCATTATTTTCTTCTATATTTTCTAAGACTTATGTTTGTTTTCTTTTTAAGTTTCTCTTATCTTCTATTTTTTCAAGAATATATTGCTCATTTTTCCAAGAATTTTGCGTGTATTTTAATATGGAAAACAATTCTTTACATAAATTAATGTTTATGGATTCACAAGTAGGATTTAATTCCAAAATGCAATATTTGTGAGGATTTGCGAAGTTATTAAGTGATAAATCTAAATCTAAACCTGTATGTTCAATTATAGGCTCCCATTTTCCAGTTACGGGGTTATAGAAGTTTACCTAGAAGCGGATTATGGTAGATAGTATTGATTTTGTCAAAATATTATTCTTAACGAATTAACTATTATCTATAAAAAGTTCAAAAACAGGTACTTATAGATCATCTATTATATATATATGTACTCCATGTAAGACTATGTCGAATATACTTTATTCAGGAAGTTTTAGAGGAGTATCATTAGTAGTATTTGAGGGAAAATCCTTCATTAATTCTGTTTAAAACTTGTAAGTTTTTTACAATAAAACGATATCTTTATAAGAGATTTTGAGGGCAGTTTTATCTAGGGAAAAATTGTATTTTGTATTATAAAAAACTTCCAAAGAAGGTATTTGAAATTATAATTCTTTACTAATTTTAAATGAAAAGTCAGTTGGTAAAAGTAGGCTTTTTTTAAGGATTAGATTGAATTTTTTCTTATCTAAAAAAAGCTGGTCACAAGTGAATATTTCGAAGCTTTTTAAAATTATTTATTAGGAAAAAAAATCACCTAAATCAGCCAAATATTAATTATCGATTATATTCTATTTTATTTTTTATTTAAAATCATCTATTTAAAGTGTCCTTTGTCTCATATGGATAAATTAAAGATCTCCTTTAGATACTAAAGTATATTTAAAGCTTTAATTAGGGAATATTATATGTGATTATTTAATTTTTAAAACGAAAACTATCCTACATATTTCGAAAAATTCCTCGTATTTAGGCCAACAGTCATCTTCGAGAAATTACCATTGTACAATTTCCCATATAATATCTAATTTGAGGAAGATTTTTATTTTTTGGAATTCTAAATGCATGTTTTTATCCCCATTTATGTCTATAGTTTACCAATAAAGAAACTATGAGTCTGTTTTTTCGAAATGATTATCAAAAGTATATTTTATATATATATCGTTTTCTTATTATATATTATTTAAGACTTTAATTTCTTCCCTTGTTTAAATTTCGTTTATATTTTCGCCTAAAATAATTTTTTCAATTATCGAATCATTAAACTTCTCAAAAGCGCAAAGTTTTATTTTTTAAGCCCATAAGCCTATAGAAATAGTAGAATCAGTATTTTTAATCCACTCTAATCTCATATTTTATAACATAAGTTTACACTAAGGTTCCTCATTTAATACTGGATATAGATCTACCTTTGGAAAATCTAATAAAAAGACTAATTAGGTAGGTTTAATATAATCTTAGATATCATAATTATGATAATAAAGGTGGTCTTTTTAATCTCCATATGTAAAATTATGAATACACATTCTTATTATATGTACGTATTGTTTTCTTAGTAGTTTTAATTTTAAAGGGTATAGAAGACTGTTAATTTTAAATGAAGAGTCTATTTTTGAGTGTATTTTTTCAGGGAATATAAACTATATACTTGGGAAAAAATTCAAACGGTTCCACTTTAGGAAATATTAAGTTTAGGAACTTATTAAAGTATTTATTTTTTCGTCTTCTTTTATATATTCTATTGTTAATTAATAACAGTTTATTAACCAGTTTTCCTCATATAGGTCAAATAAATGGGAAAAATCTTAAGTAAAACGTTTATTGGAGATAATATTTTCATTTAAAATATCTATTTTGGAGATATTTAGTTAAAAATATTCCCTAAAATATGCAAAAGGTTTTATTTTTAAAATTGTGTTATTTAAAAATATACCAAAATCAATAAAAGTTGGAAAAAGTAATTATTTTAAAAGATCAAGTTTATTTCCGTAAACTTATTTCACTTTAGCTTTTTGTCTATTTAATATTCTTTACTATAAAAAATCATCGTTCATCACTATAGATTAGGGTTGGATAAATATAAAGATTAAATAATAAGTTATATAGTTAATTATTCTTAATATAGGTTAATTTTAATATAAAGCTTCTATATTATTAAATTCTAGGTAAAGAAATGAAGTAATTTAGTCTTTATTATATATATTTTAATCTTTGTATGTTGACCATTTATATATACATATATTATTATCTTATTATTACTAGTCTTTTTATTTTCCTATAAGTATATAAGGTTTTTCATTTTTAGGGTAGCCTGTTTAATCGTAAATGGAAATATCGAGAATTTTTCCGTCTATAAAGAGTGCTTCGGAAGTTTTATAGACAGTATTTTATAAGGAATTTCCGTTAATTTTAAAGACTTATTAATTAGAAGTCCTATGAAAGCATAAAATATCTAAATTTTATATGGAAAATACCATTTTGGTCAATAATTGGGAACATCGGGAGCTTTTTTGGGCATTTTGAAAATCTTAAAAAATGCACTTTTTATCTAGAACTGTTTTTTGGGAATTTTAAAAGGATATTTTTTTTTCTTTGTTTTCTTCTTGGGCTTTTTTTAAGATTTTTTGTAAAAAAGTGTCTTTTTCATCTTCTTTTTCTTAAAATTGTTAAATAAGGAATTTTTACTTTTTTATTTTTTGATAAATAAATTTTATTATTTCTATATAAGTGTCTGGTTTCCAGTTTAGATTTAAATTTTCGCATTTAAAAAACACTTCGAAATGTGCTTTTGAAATTTCCTTATTTTTTTTTAGCCTATTTAGGTATAAACTACCTTTTTCAATCAATAAAAACTGCTGAAAAATCTCGTTTTGAAATTTATGGACCCCGTCTATTATTTAAAAAGACTAAAATTCCAAAAAAGATTCATTTTAAAATTAAAATAAGGACTTTTTATAATTAAAATTATTTAAAAAAAGTTAAAAATGAAAAGGATTTTCTTATAAAGACTTCGTTTTTTTAAATTTAAAGGAAAAATTTTCCATAAAAGCAGTTATTTTCAAAAAAGGCTTATTTTTTTAATCAAAAGTAGTATTTTTAGTATATTATTATTATTTTTCTTCTTTTTTTTCTTAAATTTTTAATAATTCTTCTAAAGTAGCGTATTATTCGATTTTTTAGCTTATTTTTTAAAGCCAATTTTTCATTTCTTATTCGTTTTCGAATGCAAAAACAACTTTTTCGTACCTATTTTTTATACAAAACTAAAAAGGTTAAATTTCTTCTAATTCTTTCTCTTTTTTTTCCAAAATTAATGAATTTTTTATATAAATCTACCTTATAATCTCACTTTTTAACATTTCTTCATCTTCATATAGGTAAATATAGCCCCCTGAAAATACTGCGAAGTATTCAACCCATTCAAATTGTTCTTTTAAATGTAGAAATCCCTTTTTTTCGCATTTTTTGATTATTTTTTCCTTTTTTTACTGTTTGCGGTTTTTTTTAACTATAAGAGTTCAATAAAACGTTTTATTTACGGGAAAAAAGAGTCTTAAAGCGTTATATTTATAGAACTTAGTAAAATTTTGAGTGTTTTTTTGGCAAAAGAAGTATTTATTTCTAATTAAAATTGATAATCTTTTAAAAAATAATTAAATATATGTAGATTTCGGTAATAAAAGTGAATATTTTCGAATGAAATTTAGTGTTATATTGAGTTATTTTTCTATTAATTTTCGACAAGTATTTTTTATAGTTTAAATTTCCATTTTTCTTTATGGGAATTTTAAAAGGGAAAATTTAGGGAAAAATTGAGGATTTAAACAGTGAATAAAATATGAGTTTTTTTATATATTTTTTAAAAATTATTTTATGTTTAATCCTATATTAATTCGATCTTTTCCCAAGTAGAAGACTTTAAAAATTCTTCGTCATTTTTTAGCTCGAAAAATTTACGGATATTTTCCAAAAAATCTTTTTCGTATATTATCTTTAGGTTGTTCATATTAATATCTATTACTTATATATTTTTTTTAGTGTCAATTTATATCTTTAAGAATTCCTATACCTATTTTTCCTTATTGTATATATATTTCTTCTTTTTTTATATTTCTTCGGGCCTTTTTTCAATAAATGAAGAATTTCTTTCTTATATTTCTTCATCTTTAAATGTATTTTTATATATTATTTTTATTCTCTATTGTGTAAAAACCTCTATTTTACCCAATTCGAAGCTAAAACTATCTTAAAAGATATCTTTTTTTAAAAAGAAAGTGATATTTTACAATTCTAGGTTATAATTTTAATTATTTTTTTCTTCTAGAATAATTTATAAATTTTTTAAATATAAATTAAAATTTAAAGCTTTTTCATATTTTTTTTCAAGAACTAAATTATCTGAAAATTTTTTGTTGTTTTTTTTTAAAAAAAAAAATCTTCCTTTTCGAATTTTTCTTCTATTTTTCGAGTTATTTCTTCAATTTCTTATTCTGAAATTGCTTCTTTTCCTCTTTAAAAAAACCATTTTTTTTCTCTTTTTTTTTTTAATTCTTGTATTATTTTTTCTTCTTTTAATTATAATTTAGCACATTCTCTTGCCCATTCAAATAATATTTCATAATTATACTTTTTTATATATAGTTATTTAATTTTATATATGAAAAAAAAAAAAAAAAAAAAAAAGTACTTCTTTTAATATTTAATATATTTATTTTTATTATTTTGAATTTTGGAAATTAGACATAATTTAAATAAATAAATTTTTTTATTCTTCATTATATTAAAAATCTTATTATAATTAAAAATTATTTTCTTAATTTTATTATTAAGCCATCCATAAATTTTTTCTATATAAAGATATATTCTCTAATTATTTTAGTATTTAAACTACTTATCTTTCTTTAAAATTTATTTCTATTTTTTCCAATTCGATATTTACTTAAGTTTCTTTAATTTTTATATTTTAATTTATGTATATATTTAAGCTCAAATTAATTATTTATTTTGTAGGATTTTTATTTGTAAAAATATTAGATAACATTAATTAAGATAAAGTGTCTTTTCTTTAATCTTAGTATATAAAATCATTTTCTTCATCATTCCAATATAATTATAAGTTTGTTATTTTTCCTAATTTTCGAATTTTATCATCTATTTTTTAACTATCATCATAATATTTTTTGTCCTAACATACAAAAATAGAGCATATATATATATGTATATATATATAAATATATACTAATATAAATATATAAAAATACACATTTTTCATCACATGTAAAAAATACAATTTCTTAAAGTAATATACCTTATATAACAAATATAAATATATATAAATGTATTACAATATATTATAATATATAAATATTTTACCCCATGAATATCCTTATTTTTTATTTTCAACTCTAAAGTGAATTTTTTTTATAGTTAATTCGAAATTGTCAATAATTTTTTAAGTTAATCTACTCATATAAGTACTTTTTTCTTATTTTTATACTTTATTATTATTTTATTATTCATCTTATAAATTTTCTTCTTTTTCTATATTTTCTTCATTTTCATTTTATTAAACGAATTTTTCTAAACATATTTTAATATAATTCTATATAATTAATAATTTCCTAGCATAAGCTTTTTCATCATAATAATTCCATTAAGACTCTTCTATAGGTTCAACTAATAAAAAAACATCTTCTAGAATAACTTATACAGGATTAGAATATAATTTAGTCCAAGGAATTTTAATAATTAAACTTCCAATACTAGAATAATTTATTTTTATAGGAAATTCAAAAGAATCAAATAAATCATAACGAATTTTAACATTTTCGATTTTTATATCGCCTTTCCATACTCCTAAATGTAGATTATTTTGATCAAATCCTGTTAAAAATTAACCGAAATAATTACTTAGTATTTTTTCGAGAATAGATTCAAACATTTTTTTTTAATATTATATAATTAGTTTTAATTAATTATATATTTTTTTATTTTTTTTATTATTTTTTTTAAAAAAAAAAAAAAAATAAAAATGAAATTTTTAATATATTGTTTATTATTTGTTTATATTTAATCTTAAATGAAAAAAGAATTCTAAAATTGTCTCTAAGATAAATGTTCGGATTAATTAAGAATTTGTCAAGATTAAGGAGAATCATGTTTTAATGAAATGAAAGAATTCACAACTTGTTAATCTAAATCGAGTTTATGTAATAGAAGTGTATAAGAATTTTATTATAAGAAATCGGCAGTTGAATGTGTAGTTTCTTGTTAAAAATAAGAAGCTAGTGATATATTTAAGAAGTATTTGAATTGTGTTAAATAATGTAATGGATTTATTATTAAATTTTTCGTGTTTTTTTTGTTTATTTTTATTATTTGAAATAAATTATAATAATATTAATTTTTTTTTTTTTAAATATATATTTACAAAATTAAATAGAATTCTTTTTTATAACAAAATTATATATCATTTTTGTAAAAGTAAAATACAAAAAAAAAAACTATAAATGGAATAATATTTAAAAAATATTTTCTTTATTATTTTACTATATTGATATTTTATTTTTTAAAAATAAAAACAACATTTTTCCAATAAATGAGAGAAGTCCATATATTTTTACTATAAATTTTAAATTGTATATAAAAAATATTTTATTAGGTAATTTATATACAAGCGATAATAAATAAAAAGTTATATGTATAAATATTTTATATTTTCAATTTAAATAAAAATGATAAAACAATAATTAATTAATTATTTTTTATAACAATATGCCATATTTTTTATTATATTAATATGTTTTTTTTTATATATTTTATATATAAACTTAATAAAATCATTAAAGAGTAGTGTATGAAATACGAATTATATTTATTTTTTAGAAACTTAAAATATTATTATGATATAAAGAGTAATTTTTATAAATAATAATACCTAACATTGCTTTATAATTTCCTAAGATTTATCGTAATTATAGTTTTCTCTTTAGATAATTATTGATATAAAGATTTTATTATATGAACGAGATGGAATTTTCGAAGATTTCTGATATATTATAATTCGTTTGTTTTTGTAAAATTTCTTTTAGATTTTATGAGAAAAACAAGGAAAGTATTTTCCGAAAAATTTTAAGAAAAAAAAAAGCCAAAATTTCTTCTTTATTTTAAAAAAAGAAAAAATAAAAAATAAAAAAATAAAATTGTGAAATATATCTAAATTAATTAAAGATTTATAAAAAAATAATATGAACCTCTTCCTTAATAAAAATAGAATAGGATAGCGATTTATAGGCTATAAATCAAATTTATTACAAAAAATAGTTTTAATTGAAATAACAAAGTGATGAATGAAGGAAGAAATATATAAGATTGTAATATAAAAATTTATAATTTAATATTTTGTATAATTAAAAATATATTATAATATATTTTTAATTATTAAATCTTTAATTTAATTTTTAAAATAAATTAATTATATACTCTTTTTTTAAATAAAAAATCTAAGTATTATATAATACTAAATTTAATATTTATTAAAATTTATTTTTTCTTTAAATTTATAAATAAAAAATAATAATATTAGTTTAACAGAAAAATAAATATTTAATTAAAATAAAAATAATAAAAAATTTATTAAAAAATATATATATATATATAAAATATAAAATGATAAAATATATAGAAGATCCACCAATATAAGATATTACATAAAATAAAATTGAAAAACCTAAATTTAATACTTCTCATTACGGAAAAATAGAATTTTGGGAAAAGAGATATTAAATGTAATATTTTAAAAAATATAAATATATAAATATATAAATATATAAATAAATATATATAAATAAAATATATATAATTTATATAAATATTTATTTGTATAATATATAATCATTATATATAATTAAAAGAAATAAAAAACCTTTTGATTGGTATTTAAATTATGATGGAATTAAAGATATTATTACTTAATATATAACTAAAAATTCTGAAATATTAAATGTTGGATGTGGAACATCTCGTAAAATATAATATTTTTATTTTAAAACCATAATCTTTAATAAAATAATTTATTTATATTTATTATAAGTTTTATGCGAAGAATTATATTTTGAAGGTTATCATAAAATATAAAATATAGATTATTCTAATAATCTTATAAATCATTTAAAAGAAAGATATTCTGATGGATTTGAAAATACATTATAATGTAATATTTTTAAGAAATAAATATTTTAAAAAATATTATTTTCTAAAATAAAATATTACTTTGTTATAAAATTAAGTTCACTAATGTGATGTAAGATAAATGAAATATAAATTTGAATAAAATTAGTTTGATTGTGTTATTGATAAAGGTACATTAGATGCTATATTAGTAATTATATATTTTATATGTATAAATATATATAAATATATATATATATATTTATATATTTATATATATTATATATTTATAATATTTTTTATATAATTATTTTATTATAAATATAAACATTATTTTATTTTAATTTTAATATATTTTTATTTATATAACACATTTTTTTATTTTTTTATAATAAAATATTATTTATATAAACTATATATATATTAATTTTTTGTTATTTGTTTGTTTTACATATATATTATTTAAAATAATAATTATTAAGTGTGGTGAATATTTTAAATAAAATTCCTTTAAGATGTTATCTGAAATAAGTAGAGTATTAAAATAAGATGGTGTTTATATTGTTATTACTTATGGTGATGAATCTAGACGAATTTCAGTTTTAGAAAATGTTTTTTTAATTTTTTTTTTTTATTATATATAAAAAATTAGTCTAAATATAAATGGTTTATTAAAAAAGTATATAAAATCTTTAAACCATATGTTAATACATAAATCTCTGAATTTGATTACTAAGATTTAAATAATTATTATTTTATTTATGTTTGTAAAAAAGGAGATTAATAAGGAAATGTTTTAGATAAATTAACTTAAATACATAATTCATGAAAAAATAAAATTAATATAAATTTTATATGTTTTTATAATTTTGTATATTAATATTATAATTTGTTTTATATGTAAAAATAAAAAATTAATACATATATATATGAATAAAAACTATTAAATTTTAAATTTATGTATATTAATAAATAAAATAATAATAATAATATTTATATATACATTTATATGTGTTACTTTTTTATTTTATTAATATAATTTATTTAAATAATTTTTAATCATAAAAAAATAAAAAAATGATAATACCATTAAACTCATATACAAACGTTACTGAATGCTAATTTTAGTTGTAAACTTAAAATGTATTAAATACATAACAAACAGATTAAAATAAGAAAAAATATTATTTAATTAAAAAAGTTAAGAGCCCACTTCTTAAGATAGATGATTAAATTAATTAATCTTTTGAAAATTCATAAAAAAATAAAAATATATTCGCAACTGCTCTAAATGAAAACCCTTTAGATAATAAATATGCAAAATAAAGCCCAAAATTCGATATATAAGGAAACATAGTTCCCAGATCGATAATAGGAAAGCCTGAATGGTTTTAAAATTTTAGTAGAAATAAACAAGAATCTATATAAACTTCATGCAGAACTTAAAGACATAAGTAATTTTCTTTTTTTTAGAAAATTGTAAAAAAAGAGAATTAAAATTAACTAATATAAAACTTAAATCAAAAATCTAAGAAAGATTTAAGAAATTAAATAGAAAATATCAGAAGTAGAATAAAATTAAATATTAACCAAGAAAAAGAAAAAATAAAAAATTTGAATTAATAAGATTACTTAAGATATACATAATAACAAAGAAATCTAAATAAATATGATAACATTTAATAATATTGGGTTAATTTTATTAAAAGTGTTTCTATAAAAAAACTTAAAAGAAAAAATTTAAATTAATCGATTATTTTTTAATAAGATAAATTTAGAAAAGTAAATAAATTATTAAAAAAAAAACAAATAACTATTTTAATATATATGAAAAGAATAAGATATAAATTTAAATAAATTTTTAGTTATATTTTTTATATATTTATTTAATATTTTATATTATATATTTCTTTTTATAATAATTTTTTATTTTACTATATGTATTTTATTTTTATTAATATATATAACTATTTATATAATATTTTTTTTTATATATTTTATAAAAGATAAATATTTTTTTATATATATATATATATATATATTTTTATATTTATATTTATATTATTTTTTTTTTATTAATTTTATAATGTTTCTATTTTTTTTAGAAAATCGAAACTTTAGATATATTTGATGTTTCTAAAGAATAATTGGAATAATCTAAAATTATATATGTATATAATGTTAATTAGTAATCACCTATTTTTATTTTAGATAAACATAAAGATAAATGTTTAGCTTTTGGGAATGAAACATATAACCATAATTAATTAGAGATTATTAGAAAACCTTTAATAACTGATTAATATTTGAAACAATTTGGTATTAGCGCAAATAATGTTCCATATTTCTAAAATTAGGTTGATTCTTAGTATTATAATAAGAAAGTTTAAGATATTTTTCAATAACTTAAATTTAATAAAATTTAAAAATTCAATAAAATATTGATATTGAAGGAATTTACGTATAGGGATAAAATCAACTATAAAAGGAATAATTGATGTTAAATAATTTATAAAACGATAATTAAACTTTTTATTGAAAGCTACATAAGATAGTACTTAAGGTAGAAAATTTTATTATATTAAAAATATTATTATTTTTTAGAAAATGAAGAAATATTAAATATAAACTATAATACAAGAAATATTTAAGAATGTTAATTAAATATTAATATGTCCTCATAAAAATTAAAAATTAATTGAATTATATATATACATATTTAAAAATAATAATATTATTTTTTAATAAAATAATTTATTATATAAATATTTATTAAAATTTCATATAACAATATAAGTTTTTAAATAAATTAATATTTAATATATTACTATATTTTATTAAATGATTTTTAAATCATTTACTTGATTTTTATATATGATAAATTTGAAAACCTAGTTTAAAATTCTTGAAAAATATTGATTTATATGTGATATTATTAGACATTAACATTTCCTTTCTTGCTTATGATGCTATATTTTTTTTTTACGGATCTATATTAGTTTTTTATTTTATTTATATTTTTGTTCTCTATAAACATTCAAATCGATATTATTATGTAAATATCTGTTATATTCCTACTTTAATTAAATTCTTTAATAAAATTAAAATATAGACTTTTATTATTATATATTATTAAAACATAATTCAATTTATTTTTATAATTTTAGGTTTTCCTTGTACAATATTTATTTATTACTTTTTTTTTTTTTTAACTAACAATTATAATTTATATTATTAAACTAATGATGAAAATTCATTATTTTTATCTTCTCTAAAAAAATATTTAAAACATAATATTTTTAATCTCTAAAAAAATATTTAATTTATACATAATTATTATACAATAGTTAATAAATTATCTATTAAAATATTATTAGACATTTAAATAAATTAATGCTATTATATTAAATATACATATGCTATACTATTTTGAGTATTATAATATATAATTTAAATATTTTTTTATTTTATGTCTAATTATTATTAAAAATTTTATATTTTATATTTTTTCATTAAATTATTCAATAGTTTTATTATGTCAAATTTATTACTATTTTTTTTTATATTTTGTTTTCATTTACAACAGTAAAGGAGTTTTTAAAAAAATATTTCATAATAAATAAAAATATAAAAAAAAAATATATTTATTACTTTATTATTTTTTTAAAAACTTAATCAAATTTTAAAAATATAATAATATATGAATTTATAGTTTTTTTATTTTTCGATTTTATTTTAATAAAATAATTAAAAAAAACAATGTAAAAATTATTATATATATATTTAACTTATCATAGTTGTAGAGTTTTGCAACTTTTTTATTAATATAAATATAATATATTTTATTAATCGTAAAAATAATATCATTATGTCCATAAAGTGTTTATCTGAATTTTCAAGTCAATTAATTAAAAAAATTCTTTGAATAATAATGCATAAAATTATATAATTAAAAATTTTTTTCCCGAATATACCGAATTATATAAATAATATATAAATATAAATTTTGTTTGTACTTGATTATAATATCTTGACATAATTCTAGTGAAAAAAATAAGTATACTTTATAACGTAAAAAACATTTATTTTAATTATTCTATATTAAAAAATTAAAATTTCTTTAGAAAATTTTTGTTTTTAAAAAAAAAAATTCATTAATTATTCATAATTAAATTGTTTTACAATAAAAAAAGTGATTATCAAAAATAAATATATTTTTAAAACAAGAAAAAAAAATATTATATTAGTTATATATTAAAATTTAATAAACAATATAATTATCATTATTATTTAAAAAAGATAAATATACGTTTATAGTGATGTATTTATAGAGTTTAAATAAATTAATCTTGTTAAATTAATATTTTAGATAATTCATAAAAAATATCTAATTAAAATCAAAAATTATATAATACATATATATAAATTATAAATATATATATATATATATATATATTTATTTTATAATATATATATATTTTATATTTTTAGAATTTTATATAAAATAATATTATTACTTTTTGTCTTTTTTTCTATATAATATATAAAAGTTTTTTATTTATAATTAGATTTTAAATTAATATTTTTTAATTTTTATTTCTATAATAAATTTTATTTTAATTAATTCATCTTATTATAATAAATTTATTTTTATTTAAAATTTAAGAAAATAAAATAAAATAAATATAGTAAAACACATGTGTATATATGATATACATAAAATTAATATAATATAAAACATATATTAATATAAAAATTTTTTTTAAAAAAAAAAACACAAATTAACAAAAAAGTACCAAAAAAAAATTATAAACAAACAAATAAAAAAGTGCATTATGTCTTAATTATTTCAAAAATTATTTCCTTTAACCATATCTTTAGTAAGAAATAACACAAAAAGATAATTTATTACTTACAAAATATATTAAACAAAAACCTTATAAAATTCTTTGAAAATAAATTATCTTCCTTAATTCTATTTTGCAAGTAAAAAAAATTAAATATATCAAATCAATTCAATTCAATTATTTATTTTTAAAAATTAAAAAAGCCAAATAGATAAATGTACCTTCAATGGGAGATTCAATTACAGAAGGACAAGTGGCTTAAATGTTAAAAAGTAAAAAAAAATAAAAAAAATATTAAAATAAAAAAAAATAATAAAGAGGTTGGAGATTGGGTAGATTTAGATGAAATAGTATGCAGTGTAGAAACAGATAAGACATAAGTTCCAATTCGTTCTCCAGAAGCGGGAATTATAACCGAATTATTCGCGAGTGATGGTTAATCTGTATAAGTTGGAAAGCCGTTCTTTGTAATTGATGTAGATGCAAAAAAGCCTTAAGGAAGTTAAAAACAAACTGAAGGTACGAAAGAAGTTTAATAAAAATAATAATAATAATAAGAATAAAAATAATAATAATAGCAATAACAATAATAACCCTAAAAAGCTTAAGAATAAGTATAAAACGTATAATAATAACCTAAAAAACAAGAACATTAGAAACCAAATTAATTAGAAATATAATATGGAGAAAAAAAAGAAATGAAAGAAGAGAACCATTAAGTAGAATGAGATAAAGAATTGCAGAAAGATTAAAAGATTCATAAAATACATATGCACTGCTAACTACATTTTAAGAATGTGATATGGGAACAGTAATGGAAATTAGAAATAAATTCTAAGATTAATTTACTAAAAAGCATTAAGTAAAATTAGGTTTCATGTCATTCTTTATAAAAGCATGTTCAGCAGCATTGTAATAATAGCCTATTGTAAATGCAGGTATAAATATATAAATATATAAATATATATATATATATATATATATATATATTTAATTATTTTATTTCTTGTTATTTTTAGTTTTATTTTAATATCTAAATTATACAAAAAAAAATATATATATATTTTTTTTTTTATTGTGTTTTTGAATAAAAATTGAATTAAATATATAATAAATATCAAATAGTAATATATTTCTAAATTACTATTTTTTATTATTAAAAAAAAAGTTATTGATGGAAAAGAGATTGTTTATAAAAATTATATTGATATTTCTGTTGCAGTTGCTACTCCTACAGGTCTTATGGTTCCTGTACTTAGAAATGCTGAAACTTTGAGTTTTGCATAAATCGAAAAAGTTTATTAATTTCTTTTATAATAATTTTATTTTTTATAAAAAAGGAATTAATTAGATTAGGTAATAAAGGTAAAGAAGGAAAAATTTCAGCTGAAGATATGGCTGGAGGTACTTTTACTATTTCCAATGGTGGTGTTTTTGGATCTTTAATGGGTACTCCTATTTTAAATCCACCCTAATCAGCTATTTTGGGTATGCATTCAATTGTTAATAGACCTGTAGTTAAAAACGATTAAATCGTAGCAAGACCAATGATGTATTTGGCCTTAACTTATGATCATAGACTAATTGATGGAAGAGAGGCTGTTACTTTCCTAAAAACTATTAAAGAAGAAATCGAAGATCCTAGAAAATTACTTTTAGATATTTGATTATTTTTCTAAATATTTAATTATTTTTTATATATATATATATTATATGTATTTTTTTTTTTTTTAATTAAGTAAATATTTTTTTAATAAAATTAAACTATATATTATATAATTATTAGAAAAGAATATAATAAATTTTTTAATTTTAAATATATATTTGTATTAATAAAAACTTGTTAAAAATATAGTTTAGTAATATTATAATTTTTATTAGTTAAAATAGAAGGTCTTTGACTATAATTATTCTAAATTTTTTATTAACACGTTAATACTTATCATAATTATCATTAAACTTTATCAAAAAAAGATTAATTTTCTTCAAAAATAATTAAAAAACTGTAAAATCCTGACAAAAACTAAAAACTAAAAGCCTAAAATAATATACTAAAAATAAAGTTTATTCCGAGAATTATTCTATATAGTTTTTTATTAAACTAATCATATATAATTACTGGCGTAAGCATTGATATAAGATTTCCAAAGGCAAAATAAATTCGAAGCCCATAAATTATAGCCAATCAAAAATTAAATTTTTTTTACAAACATATCTCCTTATAACCCAATATTAAATAATATAAAAGACAAAGGGGACCACTAAAGGTATAAAAGGGCTAACCGCGTCTGTAAAAAGTAAAGTTTTATTAATATTTACATATATTTATGATTTTTTTCAACCTATCTTTTTTTTATATGAATTCTATCCCTAAACTATTTAAAACAATTAAAATATTAAAAATATTTAATAATCTAAAAAAATATAAAAATCTATTCCACATAAACTTATTATTAATAATTATTATTTTTATAACACGAATAAAATAATTTCATTAAGTTAATTAAAATAAAAAAACAAAAAGGGATTATTTATGAATATTTAGGATTTTGATTAAATCATTTTTATTTAACAATATTTTTTTAATAAGTAATTTAAATATAATAATAAAAAAATTGAATTTTATTATATAAAAAAATACATCGTAAAACTTTTTTTAAAAAAAGAACATAAATAAATACATAAATTACTTTTTCTAAAAACTTTAAAATATATTTTCTAAAATTAAATTCAGATAAAAATAGATTATTTGATAAAAAATAAAATATATAATATATATACATATATATATGTATATTATTCAAATAAAACTTTTATTGAAGCCAATATTATTATAAGAAAATTTATAATATAAATTATTCGTATTTAATTGAGGGTTATTTTATTATTATTTATCTATATATCTTAAACTTGACACTTTTTATTAAATTTTTTATTAACTTTCTTAAACATCATTTCTAGGAATAACCTAGATTGTAGACTTGGCAGCATGCTAACCTATTCTACACCCTTTATTACATTTCAAGCATTTCCAACAACAATTGTAATATTCATCACATCCACATCCCTTACAACTGTAAAATTTCAATTAACCAATATGATATTAACAACAATCCTAAAATAATTATTTTGTTTATAAGAGTTTTTTTTTTGTTTATGGTTATTTTATAAAATATTTACTTATTCATTATTTAAAGGAGAAAATCTTTTTTTACAATGAACACAATATTTAATACTTATATTATGCGTAGCTTAATCTAAAAGGTTTTATCTAAATTAAAGTAATTTTTGGAATTATTTATCTATTTCGTTTTTATTTTAATTTTCAATAAATTATTATTAATTGTATATTTCGATTGTATTAAATAATTCATTTTTTACTTATTCATCTAAAATATTATTGTTTTCTAGAATTTTTTTGATTTTTTTGATTTTTAAATCTATTTAAATTTAATTGTTTTTTTGTTCTTCATTCTTTTCATCTTCATGGTCTTATTTTTGCGAAGTTTAAAAACAAGAAATTTAAGGCTTTAAATCTATTACAGTGTTTCTTTTTTATATTTAATATTATTAATTATCATTTTTTTGCTAATCGTTCATTATTTCTTTTATTAGAGGTTAATATAATTTTAGTTTTTAGTGAAATTCGGCTAATTTTTATTAATAATTTTGCTTGGATTACACTAACGTAAAGTATTTTTATTATAATTGTTCAAGTTTTTATTTATTGAGTTGGCTTTTATTGGCAATTTTTTCTAATATTTTTTTTTTCTAATTTTTTTTTTTTTTTTTTTTTTTTACCTATTGTTTGTCTATAAGAATCTATCATTAATCTCACTTCTTATTCAGGAAGCATTGGGACATCTGTTTAATCACTATTTAAAGAAATTTATTCTTTATTCATTTTAATATAGATATTTATTTAAAATCTAAATATATATATATATATATTATTATTTTTATAAATACAATTATAGCTTTTCTTATTTAAATAATATAAATAAATTAAGATAATTATATAATAATTAATTTATATTTTAGAAAATAAAGTTTATTTTTTAACTTTTAGTTAAAAATTTAATATTTTTTTCTTTTTTTTTCAAAGGAATTTTTAATAAAATTTTCTGTTTTTTTTCTTTGCAAACATTGAATTAGTAATATCAATTAATTTTTTTACATTTATTTAAATTTTCAATTATAATAAATAAATAAGATTATTTATATGAAATATATCTATAATATTGTTATTTTTATAGAAAAGACATTATATTATTAAAAAAGAAATAAATAAAAAATCATTTATAAAAAATTATAAAAGATACTTTTTATTATTATGGTCGTATATATCTAATTATAATAAAACTTAATTTTATTCATATAATTTAAATATTTAAAAAAAACATATTTTATTTTCATTTAATAATTAATAATGTGATTAAATAAAAATTGATTATAAATTTATTTATTTTACTATAATATATAACCTTTATTATATTTATGTTATAATATTTTAAGTTCTTATTTTGTTATTTTTATTTATCATTTCAATATTTCTCCTATATAAAATAATTTAAATAAGACATTTATTTGATATAGTTTTTTATAAATGAAAGTATTTTTTATCAAAAAAATTAAACATTACTTATAATAAAGTATTAAAAAAAAAATCATTTAAAATAAAAATTTAATTTTTAACAAAAAGAAAAATGTAGCAAATATTAATAATATCAACTCATTTTTTTTTTTTTTCAAATACTAATTTTAACTCGGTCTAGATATTTTTGTACAAGATGGCGTTCACCTGATAATTAAAATTTACTTTTATAGAAATACAGCATGATTATATAAAGTATGTTTATCAATATTGTTAATAATATACATAATAAAATGAATCATTAGAAGAATGCTTAGAAATCCTGATTGAATAGAGATTGCATAATTCTTTTATTCTGAATATATATCTATAAGAAATTTCTATTATTAAATTATATATAGATAATAATACCAAAATTTATATCCCGATAAATTGTAAAATAACTATCTATAAATTTCATTTTAAGTTCTGTTTTTTAACAGAGGAGTAGTTTCGAATATTTGCTTAAACGATATTAAAATAGAGGTATTATTAACTTTTATATACAATGATTAAAAAATATTTAGAAAACTTGTTAAAGCTTTTAAAATGTATTTTAGGTATTTTAATAATGTAATCTTAAAAAAAAATATACATGCTTTAATAAAATCTTAAGTGCATGTAATATCTTAACTTTTAGAGGAGATTTGTTGTAAAAGGTACTTTTGTATATTTTATTGATGATATTTTTGATGAATATAAAAGCAATTTTTATGGAAAATATAATAGATAAGAAGTATTTGTGGAATTATACATTTAGACTTAGAAATGGTTAAAGTATTTCGTAATATTTTATAAAAAAGTTATTATTAATAGTATATTTATTAAAATAATAATAATAATGGAAAAATTAAGAAATTATAGAATAAATAAAAAAATTACTTGAAAAAATGAAATTGAAAATGTACTTTATTTATTTATAATAATCTTTATTTTATGTTTTTTTTTTTTAAAAAAAAACCATTGATATAAATACCTATTAAGCATGAATATTTCAAAAAATACAGAAGAAAAAACCCTAATAAACTATATTTGATGGATTTTTTGAAAAAAAAAAAAAGTAGAATATTTTTTTTATCTCTTATAGTAATTTATATATGGCTATTAATGCATGTATTTTAAGTTTAATGCGCTTGAATGTAACTGGGTTTTAGTTTTAGTTTAAATCACTTTTATGATTATATTTTTAGGTCTAGAATTAGTTTGGTATTTTCGAAAAATACGATTTTTTATAAATAGGAATAAAGTGTTATAGTTTATTTGAATAATTAAGCTTTTGATTTAGACAATATTTATTAAAAAATAAATTTATTATTTATATAAATAATTTTATTGTTATAAAAATATTGTCTATATTTTTGTTTATTGATTTAAAATAAAAGTTAATATTTATTAACTTTTTTATTATAAAAAAAAAACAATCAATTTTAAAAAAACTAAAATTAATCCAACTTACAATTTGGACATACAAACTTTTATTTAAGCCAAGAATCAATACAATCCGAATGAAATTTATGCATACAGCCTAAAATCTTCGCATGATCTCCCGTTTTCCAATCTTCTAGACAAATAGAGCAATTTTCCTAAACTTATATAATATTTTAAATCTAAATAACCGGAAAGGCATTAAGGTGTTCTTCCAAAACTTTCTTATTTCCAATTAATCTTTACATTACATTTACCATATTAGCTAATATTTCTATATTTTCAGAAGATCCTTGAGTATTATATATATTATTTAATTATTAATTTAATAATTCTACGAATCCTCGTAATCTATCAAATGCTGAATTTCGGTTGTTTTCGTATAGTAAATTAAAATTATTATTTTCGTAATTTTATATATTATTTTCAGTTTTTTATTCTTCTTCAATTTCATTTTCATTTTCTTCTTCTGATTCTGAATATAAAGAAGATAGAGAAATAAATTATTGATTTCTTGTATATTGTTAACTGTTTATTCGGCCAGTTATTTGTTAGTAACTTATTCGACGGTTTTCTTCTGCTATTTGATCTTCTAAACGTTATCGCCTTATTATGTGTTCTTATTGGATAATTCTTAGATTATCTAAATGCTATATGTCTCTATCTATAGTCTATATTTTTGTTTTTTTTTTTAGAAATTTCATTTGTTTTATTTACTTCGTCTTCTTCGGAATTTATTTCTTCTTTCTGTTCTTCTTCTTCATCCTCTTCTTCTTCTTCCTATTCTGCTTCCTCTTCTTCTTGTTAACTTTAAGACATACTTAAAGAACTATTATTTATGCTTTATTTAGAAGAAGGAGATGATTAAGTATATTTACTAAAAGAACTATTTGTAATATGTTAAGTGTTCAAAATTTAAGTGTTTGTAAAATGTTGAATTGATTGGTTTGAATTTGTGACATTTTTATATGAATTTTGAATTATTTCGTTAGAAATTTAAATGTTTTATTAATTAGAATAATTTGCTTCTTTATTAATATTATTATTATTATTATTATCATTTGCTAATTCTATATTTTTATTTGAATTAATTTATATAATATTTAATTCATTTGTATAATTTTAGTTTTATATTTATGTTGTAGATGAATAATAATCGCTTTATAATTATAATTATTATTATTATTATAATTTTTATTATTATTATTATATTAAATCACATTATTTTACATCTGATTAATTTTATAATTATTATTTTATTACACTTTATTGATTTTATGTTTGTATATTTTTGTTTAAATTTTATGCTTTTTTTATATTAATTCTACATACTTTTCGAATTTAAAATTGTTTTTATGTGTTTGGTAATTATAAAATTCTTTATTAATTTAATTGAAAATCGTTTGTATTTTGAATAGTATTGTTGTTGCTTTATATTTGAGTTGCTTTTTATCTCTAATATATTGGAATTAGGTTTTTTTATGATAATTTTGATTTTAAAATTCTATTTATTTTATATTTATAAAAAAATGATAAATATTTTTGTTTTTTTATATAAATGAAAATAAGTAAAAAAATAAAAAAATAAGTATGTTTGATTTTTATACATTTTTTTCGAATTTAAATTAACAAATTGGATATAAAATATTTTTTGCTTAAATTTTTTTTATTTAAATATAATTTTTTTATTATAGATTTACTATCTTTTGTAATAATGATGATCAATACTATGTTTATTTTATAATTAATATGATTATAACATTTTTTTTATTTATAAATATTTTTTTTTTTAATATAAATAATTACTATTAATAAAAATATTCTTATAAATAAATAATGATAATAATTAAATTTATAAATTATTTTTCAATATTATATTAAAAAAAAAAAATTATAATCAAATTATATGCTAAATAAATTTAGATTTTATTTTAATATTTATTTTAAATAAAATTATAATTATAAAAACAAGAGTGTTTATTAAAAAAATAATTAATTATACATACATATATATATATATATATTTAATATATATTTTTGTATTTATTATAATTTGAAAAAATTATATATTTTTTATTATATAAATTATATTAATAATTTATACACATATAAAATTAATTTTTAATATTTTTTAAATAATCAATTTTTTTTTAAAAAATTTTATTAATATATAAAATTAATTTTTTTTATTTTAATTTTCACTTAATATCTATTATTATATTATTTATTAATTCTAAAAACATATTAGTTTTTTCTTTATATAAATCATTTTATAATTTTTTACTAAAAATTTTAAAAAACAATTTATCTTAATTTTGTATTAATTTGTTCCATTTTATTATTATTTCTTTTAATTAATATTAAAAATTAATATATTTTTTTAATATTAATTTTAATATTACGATAAAAACCAATTATTTTTTTTATCAAAAAAATAATCAGGATTACAATATTTAGCTTCAACACCTATATTATAAATAAATATTTTATTTAATAAATAATCTTATTTATCCTTTCTTATAGAATTAAAACTATCTGACTTGACCTTAAAACTTTATTTTTTAATTAATTATATTTTTTTAATAATCCTAATTAAATAATTAATATTAAGTAAAGTCATAATTATCGTACATAATTGGTTTAAAATTTAAATTCCATCTATTTCTATAACTTATAATAGTTTGTTTATTTTATACAATTCATAATGATTTTTTTTTTATATGCTTTCTAAAATCGTTACTTAATAAGCTGTTTGCTTTGTTTATTTATTTAATAGCCTTTGTCTTAATAATAAAATTTATTCAAAAATAAAATAATAAAGCTTAAAATTATAGAGAATTAACTAAAAAAACTAATATTCTATTGTAAGCCTCTGTATTCATAAAATGTATAATTAAAAAATAAAATAATTAAATAAAAATAATTACTTATTTACTAAATCTTATATATTTCCAGATATGATTTTTACTTAAAATAGTAGGTTTTATGAATTTTCACATAATAAAAGTTAAAATTATACTCCAAATGTTATTTACTAAATAAATAGTATTAAATATAATTTATAAAGTTTATATTAGTTTTTTTAATTTTTAAACAAAATAAATTCTCTTATTTAAATAATCAAAATTAAAATAACTTTAAAAGATTATTTTTTTGTTTTTTCTAATTTTAATAATCTTATAACCAAAAAATAATTTTCTATGTAATCTTTTCATAATATATATTCTATTTTTCTAAAAATTCTTATATTACATTTTGATCTATAAGGTCTAATAAATTTATAATCATATATTCTCTACTATTATTTTAGGTTAATTATTATCATCATATAACATAATGATATGTGAAATTAATATGATTTTCTGTTTTTTTTAGTTTTATATTATCCCAATAAGAGGAAAAAAAATATAAACAAAAGCATTGTTTTTTTATTGAAAAAAATATTCTTATAAAATTATTTTATTAATTATTTATTATAAAATATATTTATTTAAAAATTAAAAACTATATTTATAAATAAAAATTAAATATTAAATATTAATAATTATATAATGTTTAATTTAATAAATTAAATAAACAAATATAAAATTAATCAAATCAATAAAAAATATTATATAATTATAACAAAATTTATATAATAATTTTGTAATAAAATTAATATATCTTAACTTAATATAAATATTTTTTTTTTTTTTTAAATAAAAATGAATAAAATATATTAAGCAACCGCAAATTTAAATTACATATTAATAAAATCTCCAAACAAAAATACAAAAAATAACATAATATATATTCATGGAATATTTGATAATTGTGAAAAATTCTTTCCCATATCCTAAAATCCGAAAATCCAAAATTTATCAAACCAATATTTATTAGATATAAGAAATCACGGAAAATCTTAAAAAACAAAAACAATGTAATTTTCTGAAATGACATATGATTTTATAAATTATATAGAAAAATAAAATTTGTAAGATCTTTTTTTAGTTGGACATAGTTTAGGAGGTAGATTAGTAATGAATATGATTAAATAGCATAACATTTATTTAAAAAACATAGTAAAAGGGGTTGTTATTATTGATTGTTTGCCGTTAAGTTATTCGAATATTAATTAAGATACAATATATTAAATGAGAACTTTTTTGCAATAATTAATTGATTTAAAAATTGAGGAAAAAACATTCCAAAACTTCAAAAAAGAAGTTCATTCTTAATTCGAAAAATACCCCGAAGTTATTTAGCATGTATTAAGTATTGTTAATATAAAAGAAAATGATAAACTTGAATGTTAAATTAATTTAGAAAGCCTAAAAAATGAACTTGAACATATGATTGAATATGAAATAAAAGAAGGGTTTTGGGAAGGAAAAAGAAAAATTATGTATGGGGAAAAGTCGAGATTTGTTAAAAAGGAATAGTTGAGTAGTTTCAAGAATGTTTTTGTGAATTTTAATGTATAAAAGGATTGTATTTTGTTTGAAAATGCGGCACATTATTTACATATTAAATAATAAGAAAAATTTTTGGATCATTTATGTGAGTTTATTTAAGATTCTAGTTGATTTTATTTTAATATTATGCGGAATGTTTATAATATAAAATTACTAATTTTTTAATAAAACAAAATATATTTAAAATAATAATATATGGATTTTGTACTTTTCAATATTATTTAATTTGTTTTAAAAATATATTTAAATTTAACTTTTTCTTATTTAAATTTATGTATTTGATTGCTTTAAAAATAAATAGAATTCTAAAAACAAGTATTAGAGTTTAAATTTTATAACAAGAATATAATTAATTATATATTTTTAAAAATTATTTTCTAATAGTAAAATTTATTTGGTAATATATGGTCATATTACTAAAATATAATACATCAAAACTTTTTAACATCTATAAATATATTAAAAAAAAATATTTAAATAAAATATATTAAATTAAAATATTTAATTTATAATATATATATATATATATATATATATATATATATATATTTAAAAATATATATTATAGTTTAATTTTTAGTTACTTTAAATATTAAAGCTTGATATTAAAAAAAAATGCTTTCACTTTAGAAAATATAGAAGTTTTTAAGATAATAAATATAATTTTTTGTATTAAAAAATTAAATTATATATTTATTATTTAAAAATAATAATATAGTTTTTTTATTTTTTATTTTATTAATATTTTACATAATAAAAAAATATATAATTACATTTTCCAATAATAACATATTTTCTTTTAAAAATTATTATTACATTAATAAAAAATTATTAACAAAAATTAAATGGAAGATATTCAAAGTCTAAAAGATATATAATCTTAAGATAAATATTAATCAGTAAATAATGAAAATCTAAATACAGGTTAATAAGCAAATGGTACTAATGGTTATTCAAAGCCAAAAATAAAATAAAAAAAGAAAAGAACAAAATTAACAAAAGAATAATAAGATGTATTAAAATAAGCATTCGATTTATTCGATACAGATGGTTCAGGGGCTATTGATGAAAAAGAATTAAGAGATGCTATGAAAGCTTTAGGCTTTGAATCAAAAAAGGAAGAAGTAAAGGAATTAATTTATTAAATTGATAAGGATAGTAATGGTACTATCGATTTTTATGAATTTTTAGAATTAATGAAAAAAAAAATGGTAAATTTTTTTTTTTTTTTTTTTTTTTTCTTTTAAATAATATATTATTATATATTGAATTTTTTTTCTTTTTTTAGTTATAAGATAAAAATGTAGAAGAAGAAATTGAAAAAGCATTTAATTTTTTCGATGAAAATAATGAAGGATTTATTGATTTCGAAAAACTAAAAAAAGTCGCGTCTGATTTGGGCGAAGATGTTTAAGATAAAACTTTAGAATAAATGATTTTTGCGGCAGATTTAGATGATGATTAAAGAGTTTCTAAAGAAGAATTTATGAGAGTTATGAGAAAAATGAAACTTATTTGATGTTTTTTCAGTATGTATTATTACTTTTAAACTATTTTATTTTTTATATCATCTGTAATAATTTTTTTAAAATAAAAATAAAAAAAATTGATCGCAGCAGTTATTTTCATTAAATGAGAATTTTTTTTTTAAAAAAAAACAATGTTAATTATATATAAATATATATATAATATATATATATTAAATATATGAAATATTTTTTTTGCTTAACTAAAATGAATTAAAATTATTATTAGTAGGGTTTATCTATTTCTATTTAACTATTAAGAAAATTGTATTTTCATAATGGGCAAAATTTATTTGATTTTTTTGTATTTTTATATTGATTGTTATATTATTTGCAGGTCCATAATATCTTAAAGTTTTTTCATAACTGCATTAAAATGTAAAATGATGTACTTTTTGTGCTAATTATCTGTGTTTTTAACCTTTCTTTCATGTAATTATATTATGTTAAATACTAAATAATTATTCATGATAAATAACCTATATTATGTTAAATAGTAAATAATTATTCATAATAAATAACCTGTATTATCTAAATTACTGAATTATAAAAAGTTAAAAATACATTTTACAAATATTATCTAAGATATGTACATTTTTTTCACTATATTTATGTTCTTTTGCTTCTTATATAATCTTTTTTTGCAATTTATTTAATTTATTCTCTGATTTCTTTAATTTATTTTTTAGAATATATAATTTTTTAATTTTCATTTAAATCCTAATACAAATAAGAAAATGTTAAAAATAAATATTTTTATTCTATAAATATACAAAATAGACTAATAATTAAATAAGAGAAAAATTATGTAAGCTTCTTTCCATAGAAATTATTTAAAATAAAAATTTATTACTAATAAAAAGAATTAAAAAATATATTCAGAGTAAATTTTATGAAAAAAATAATATATATCAATAAATTTAAAATTAATTTAAAATATTAAGAGCAATAAAATGTATTTTTACTAAAAATTCATTATAGAAAATCAACAATAATAAAAATTTAATATCAATTTAAAAAAATATTTCTAAAATATATTATTTAATAATAAAAATATATAATCACCATTTATTTTTTTATTAAATGTGTAAAAAAGGAAAATTAAAAAGATTATTCTAATATATTTGTAAATGCATACAATAAATAAATATTAAAAATAAAATATTAATCTAAACTAATATTTAACTATTAAAAAGACTATCAAGTGAATGCTTAATATTAGGTGAAATATATCTTTATATATTTAAAATATATAATAAAAAAATTATAATATAAAAACAAATATAGATACAAATATATAGATATAAAAATATATATATATATATATATATATATATATATTTATAAATTTTTTTTTTATTTTTTTTATATTTAATATTTTTCATTAGTTACTTTAAAAATTAATAATTTAAAACACTTTTTAATTTCATGAATATTTTTTAATTAAAATAAAAATTTTATTTTATAATTTTATAAAAAATAAAATAATATCAAAATTCTCTATATATAATTTTTCAAATCAATAATAAATATATAAACAACAATTATCTGTATATAAAAATTATTTTTTTTATTATTAAAATAGTTTTAAAATATATAATTTATTAAAATTATTTAACATTTATATTTGTTATTTCCTTAAATATTTAAAAGAATAATTATACTATATATTGATTTAAATTTCTGTTAAATTGATAACATATTAAAACTAAAATAATTTTTAAATTATCATATATCAACATAATTATTTAACAAATCTATATTAAGTCTATATACACAATATTAATACAAACAATTATATTTTTATTATATAAAAATACATTTAAAATTAATATTTACAAATGTTTTTTTTTTCATTTTTTCAGTTATTCATATATAAAATTTAATATAATTTAATTTTCTAGAATATATTCTATTTTAAATACACTAATTAAATATCTAACTTCACACAAAGACTTATTAATATATTTAACAAAAATACTAAAGGCAATTATAAAAATAAGTACTAAAACAAATAAACTATAGATATAAAGAGCTAATTATATATAAGCAATATATTATTTATATTCTTAAGTCATTAAAATTAAAAAACTAAGCATTATATCTATATATTAACTTATGTTTCTTTACATTTCGCTAAGTTCTCCTAATTTAGAATCAATTATCCATTTTTTTATGTTTTCTTTGAAATTATTTTAATCTTCATATAATTCATTTAAATATTTTAATTAATTCACTACTAGTTTAATTGATTATATTAACCCTTTTTACCAAATACCTTAATAAATAGAATTACAGATATCTAAATTTAACTTAAAAAAAAAAATGAATATTTAAAAAAAAAAAAAAAAATTACTTAAATATCTTAATAAAACTTTGGATTATTTTATAAAGAATGACAAGTATTTTCTTATAAAAATTATAAAAAAATGACTAATAAACTTCCGCATTAAACCTGGAAAAACTAAAAGTAGTAGTTACATCATATAGATCATTTAATTAAATATAATATCTATTTTAAAAACTGGTCAAAACCTATTACATATCATTTTTTATTTGTTAATTTTAAACTAAGTTCTCAATAAAAATCATATGTATAGCAAATTATCCGTTTAAAAGTGCTTTTAAAAAGGACAAATTAGAAATTTCGTTAATATTTTATGTAAATTCTTCAACAAACTAAAAAGTATATAAAGAGTTAATAAATGTATAAATAGAAAGAAAAATCAAAGAAACACAAATCCAAATAATAAACTTTTAATTATATTTATTTATTTGATTGGTATCTGATATTTACTTCTTTTTTTTCTTACTTTTGCTTATATATTCCATTTTAACATCAGTACACTCAGTTATTCTTTCTATGAATATTTCAAGTTTTTATTAGGGCCATGTGGCAAATAATTTAAGCCATTTTTCCCTTGTTTTTTAGAATTAAGCATATATAGGAACCCCTAATGCAATTATTAAAAGTGCAGCCCCTTAAAAAATAGCGACAGTAGCATATATATTACTGCGCATTTCTTTTAAATTAGACTTGGATTTAGAGTTTGTTATGTGTTGAATTTGGATGAATTGGGAGATATATTGAGGATAATTTTCGATTAAAAATTATTTTGAAGACTAGTTATTAAGAATATAGTAGAAGAATTAATTTTATAGATATATACAAGCGTAGTTTATTTAAAATTATAGTATTTATGAAATTTATTACTAATTTAGATTGTAATTTTCGGTTTCTTTATAGATTTTTAAGTCCATTTTTTATTAGTTTACATATTTGGAGAAATCTTCTTAGGATTCCTATTTATTTTTATTTTTTGTTTGTATTTAAAATATATATAAAAATTACTTCCTTAAATAATTTTTCAGTGTTTTTTTAAAAATCTAGAATGATATTATTTTTGAGTTAATTAGTGTCTATTTTATATATATTTGTATTAAATTCTTTAATTTTTAATTATATATTTTCAGATTAATTTTCTTTTATTAAATAAGAGAAATCTGACATCAATTAAGGTCCTATTAATAAATTTTCAAAATCATGCACATAAGTAAAAAAAATAGTTTATAAATAAATAAAAATTCCAGTAGTAAGTGCAAACATAAAACAAATGCAAAAATACCACTTATTTCTAAAAAAATAATGAAAAAAATATACATATATGTAATATATATACATAAAGATTTTATAATTAATGGTTTTTTATGTGAAGTTATAATTTATATGGCTGAAATTTTTTAAGAATAAGATTAACTCATTGCTGAGTTATCACTTTAAAGTTCTTCGACTGATTTTTAATTATCTTAAAGTTTAAATTCGTCTATTGATTCGGAATTTTTTATTGTTTAGGCTTAATATTCTAATGAGTTTTGTTAAATTTCGGATTATGAGACTATTTTTCGCACTGAAACTTAAATATCATTTACTGTGTTGCTTTTTTTATTGAATTTACAAGAGAAGTATTTTTGTTGTTAAATTAAATTTTGAAAACATAAAGATTATTACTCAAGGGGTTAGGTGGGCTTTTTATATGATTAATTGAATAATTTCTTTTCTTATTAAATTATATTTATATTTGTATTACTAAAATATGTTTAATAACCCTATAAGGAATTTTTTAAGGTTGAAATAGGAACGTTTTTGGCTTTTTGGATGCTTTTTTCGCTCATTATCTTACTTATTTAAGAATTATCGAGATTACTTGGGCTATCTTTTGAGCAATAATCGAGTGTTTTGCTTTCTGTAAGGGATATATGGGGCATTAAAGGCTTAATAAAGCTTTCTTTTATTAATTAAAGGTCAAAAGTGGGATAAGATCTGATAGAATTTCTATATTTATTAATTTTTCCATGATTTTATTTTAATGAATTTTTAATATTTTAATAAAAAATCTTTAATAAATTTTATATATTATTTATATTTTAGACATTTTATTAATTATAAAAAGAAATGCTTTTTTTGAAATAATTAGTTTATTTTTTAGACACTTTTTTTTATTCAGGAGTCGGGGAAAGTTAAGAAGTCGAATTATCACTATCGGATGTATTTTAGGGTATTTTGGATAATAAAATTTCAATATTTACTTTAAATAAATATTATATGTCATGTAATAATTTTTGTATTTAAAAATTTCTCATTTCATTGTTTTGTAAATGCCGAATTTTAGAAAATTTTAAAATTTAATAAGAATTTCCATATGAACTTTTTATTGTATTTAATTAAATTTAAATATCAGAAAAAAGAAAGTTTTAGGAAATTATTTAAATGAGATATTTTAAAATACGATTTTTGCGATTTTTACAAAAAGAACACTTTTTGAAAAAATTTATCTAATTTTTTTCTAAAGGAGAAATTAAAAGAGTACAAGAAAAGGCTTCTGATGATATGTTTTTTGTATTTTCTTCCAAAAAAAGACCTAAAAGGGGTATTAGACGGCCTATATGGAATTTCGGAAGGAAAGATTTGTCGTTTTCATAGATTTAGTAGAATAAATAATTATAAAGAGTTTAGGAAATATCAGATATATTAAAAGAATCGTCTAAAAGAATGTATTAAGA